CTCTTCCCACTACACTCCCTGGTTGCAAATAGTTCCTTCGTTTTGCCCTTATCTCACACCAAGAGGTACTTTCTGTTGTCCTTGCCTAATTTTTCCCTTGGGGTTAGTGACCAAAGCTCAGACTCACTGAAATTTGAGTTTGGTCTAGTATCAATGTCTGACTCAGCACACTCTTTTAGTTTCATTTTAGCTATTACAGAAAACAGCCAAGGGATTGAGCCAACATCCTGGTAATTGGATCCATCTCTAATCTCCATTGGTGATGGTTATCTTTAATCCCTAAGAGCCGCACAGCTACCGCTCCATACCACGGGCAACCAAACGGCCACCGAAGAACCGAAGGCTCCACAGTCCCCACTCTTTTATCCTTTCTTTTCCCAAACCACGTTTCTGTGAGCCAGGATCATCTAGCAAATCTCACTTATGTGACACCAAATGTCCAGGAAGAATTCCGTGTTAAAAGAAAAATATATCATTTGTTAAAACCCAGAAAGGAAGACCTTATTCAAGGTGGTGCCCTGATAGGTAATCTAATGAAAGCTGTGGACCAGGTTTTAGGTGAGTGACCAAGGAGGTATCTAGCAACTGTCTGGATGTCTCCAAAGCCCATCTAGCTAACCAAAACATCCAGTCTATTCCAGGTTTCTCAGCCTCAAGCATTTGCTTCTGAGGATCCCTAAGTCCCTAGACAGCCCTCGTGGAGGGCAAGGAGCCCAACACTTAAGTGACAACAGAGACGGGCAGGGGGAAAGGTCCGGCCTGGTGGACAGAGGGATGGAGGAGAAAGGGCTCGGAGGGAGACATATCAAAGGACTCAGGGAACTGGAGGGAAGACTAAAGGTGGGAGAAGAAAGGAGCAGCTTCTGCAATGGGGAGGGAGAGGTCTCAGAGGAGCCAGCTTGAGGTGGGAAGGTTCCCCAAGAGGCCAATGAGTTTCCTATTATTCTCAGCAAAAGCAAGCCAACAAAAACGGAGGCAGACAGAGTTGGTGGAACAGGGGTTCAACCAGAGAGAGAGCCAGGAAGAAGAGTCTTCCAGCCCAGTTGGTATCTTTCAAACCAAGAAACCTAGGACTCGAACTCATCTTTTTTCAAACAGCTGTTTCCCCAGCCTCTAACCCAGCCTGTGTTTACCAAGGACTCCATCCCAGCTTCTGGAGCAGCGGTTGCCAGCCTTTCAGACCTCACAGACCACCAGTGGTCCGCAGACCACCGGTTGGCAACCGCTGTTTTGGAAGAATCTAAGAATCCAACCTGTCCTTACCAGCTTCCACGGACGTTTGTCCGGAGCAATGGTTCAGGAGTCGGACTCACCAATGGATCCCCGATCAATCAGTCAGGAGGAAGATAAAGGCTTCAAAGGTATGCACTTTTAGGGTCCTGGGTGAGAGGTCCGGGGTCCAATGATGAATCTGATCCTATGGGTGTTGTGGCACCACAATTGTTAGAAGAAAAATATTCAAGGACACTTGGTAAAGCATGGTAAGAAAGAACTTGGGGAATGGGGAGCTAGGCATAGGGACCACTGAGATAAATTTCTTTAATGTAGGTAAGAAACTGGGCTCAGTGCCGAGTGCTGCCTGTATGTATGGGAATTTAAAGCAAAGGAGCAGAGTAGGGTCAATGGATAAAACATACTAAGAGAAAAACATCAGAGGTAAAAAGGCTCTAACTTAGGGGTGTCGAACTCAATCAGAGAAGGGGCCAAAATCTAAAATCCAGCCTAAATCGCGGGCCGAATGGTTTACTGAACAGTCATAAACTGTCATTGTGATGGAAACGCAGCGAAGTGCAGTGATGACAGCGCGGTGTGGGCCACATTGCAAGGCCTGGCGGGACGGATTTGGCCCGCGGGCCTTGTGTTTGACACATGTGCTCTAACTAAACAGACCTAACAGAATTTTTGCTTTAAAAAAAAAAAAAAAAAGGTCAGAGTGATCAACTATCACCTGGGACATGGAACAAAAAAGGAACCCAATCCAATGTCGAGGATTAGGGCTTCTTGCTAAACTGACAGGGCAAGGCTCTTGCTAAAACTGTATCTTACAAGGATGTGTACAGATGGCCAAGGAGAAGGTTCGGGAACCTGGCTGAACTTTGATGAAGCAAAAAATGTGTATCACCTGTTTCTTCCTTTACTCTCACACACAATACTTCCGATGCCAGATGTGTGTGTGTTTTCTCTCCCCCACACCAGTCATTTCTCCAGCACCAGCCAGGTATCCTGCAATTCAATGCGATTCCAACACTAGCACAGTTAGCGCGGACCTCACTGGGAAAGGCTCAGTCCCACAAGACTGCTCCCCCCAGTTCAGGCACTAAGCACAGGTAGTAGGACCCCATGTGACCCAGACTTTCTGTCCAACTTGGCTACAAATCGGAGGTTCCCATGACCCCGTCATTAGATGTAATCGCCTGCAAAGCTCACCGAACTCAGAGAAACACTTACGTTTACTGGTTCATTACATATAAAAAAAAAAGATACGACGAAGCGCACAACGCGCAGGTGAAGAGGTACATAGGGTGAGACCTACAGGAGTAAAGGGGCTCCTGTCCCTGATGGAGGTGGGGTACGTAGATCTGCTCACCAACCCCAGAGATTTGGGGGTTTTTATGGCGACTTCGTCACCTAGGCATATTCAACCACTAACTCAATCTCCAACCGTTTCCCCTCCCAGGATGAAGGGGGAGGGGCTGAACGTCCCAAGCTTCTTAGGACAGATGGGTCTTTCTGGGGACCAGACCCCATCCTGAAGCTACCCAGGAGCCAACCAAGAGATGTCTCTTTAGATCAAAAAACACTCCTCTCACCCAGGAAATTCCAAAGGATTTAAGAGCCTTGAGTCAGGAAACAAGGTCAAAGACCAAAATATTGAAAAGAAAGAAGCTCCTAGTACTCTCATTCCTCAGGGAACTATAAGGGTTTCAGGAGCTCTGTGAAAGGAACCAGGGGCAGACATAGTCCAAAAGCCAGCATTAATGAATTGTGTCCACAATCTTCCTGATGATGGCCACAAATCTGAGCATTGGAGTTTGAAATGTATTTAATATATATTTATTATATTTATATTTAAGCATTTGCGTGTGTTTTAAGAATTCAAAATTACATAAAGAAACCCATAAGGCCGAAACCAGTTTGGCTCAGTGGGTAGAGCGTCGGCCTGCGGACTGAAAGGTCCCGGGTTTGATTCCGGTCAAGGGCATGTACCTTGGTTGCGGGCACATCCCCAGTGGGGGGGGTGTGCAGAAGGCAGATGATCGATGATTCTCTCATCGATGTTTCTAACTCTCTATCCCTCTCTCTTCCTCTCGGTAAAAAATCAATAAAAATTAAAAATTAAAAAAGAAACCCATATGCATCTGGTGATTTTATAGCTGAAGGCAACTTATGAAGACAGTTACCTTTCTCCGTTTAGAAAAGCACAAGCCCACTGTCTAATACGTTGAGTTGCTCTGCTATTGTAAGACTTCCATCCAATCACATTTCTACAACAGAATTGCTCGCCAAGACATTTTACTTCAACTGAAAAATGTCCATTTCATTCTAGAACATTTAAAAAATTTTAATGTCATTTGGCTTTAGGAAATTTATCTCAATTAAACAAAAATCATACCTAGGCATAAAATGTTTCCTACATAAAACTGTTTCTAATTATTGTTTACCTACCAATGGAGGACCTTAAAGAGAGGGGCATATTTATTTCAATTAAGCTAAATAAAGTTGTGTTGTTTTGAAACCTGCACCAAATTTATCCTGTCATCACCAGCTGTTCCAATAAATGTTTAGAAAAAGGTGCTGTGCTAGGTTTAAAAAGACTATGCTGAACATTGATATAATCTTTTAAATTTTATTTGCATCAAGAGAACCAAACTAGCTTCGGGTGTTACATCTTAAAACAACAGAAAGCATTGTATTATGTTGCAGATCTATGCTATTCCAGCATTTGGTTTTTTTAAATTATCTTCATTTTCTCAAGGAATGTGTGAGGCAGCTTTCTTTCCTGTCTGTCCTAACCTATTTGCAAATGAATACATAACCTCTTTGGCAGATAGATACCTTCGATGTGTGCTCTATTTCCTACTGACAATCCAAACAGACCCTCATTTTCATTGCACCTCAAGCTATTTTTTTTGTGTGTGTGCCTCTTTTTTGGAGACAGCTGTACTAGAAGTCCGCCCATTAATAAATGAATTACTCCGTTAGTGGCAGAGGAATAACTGTACGCTGGTGGTTAAGAAGGCCCATCATTTCGGCATTTAATACCTACTGTTGCCACCCGGCTGGCTCGGACCGGCGAGCTCCCAGGTGCCCCCGGCACCGGCCTGTCAAAACGAGCACTCAGCAGCGGAGTCTCCGGAAGCATCCGGCCAATCGCTGCACCGGCTTCTCACACATAAACAAAGGGGGCTGGCTTCTTGGATTCTCTGCCACAAGCAATGCACTCGAAAGCGATTAAAACAGGACATGCTCTTGGAAAGAATACTCCTTTTCCAAATTAGACCAAGAATGCCCCTTATAAAGGTATTTGTTTGTTCGGGGTGGCACCAGCTCTCCTATCACATTTAGTTTTTTAATCTTGCAACGTATCAAAGCTGCAGCCGCACGGAATGAGTCCAAATGCAAGCCGGGGACAAAAGGCTGTCCGTGTGTCTCCGTGTTTATAAAATCCGCACGCCCGGGGACCATTCCGGCTGAGGCACACACTGGATGGAGGAGGCAGCCCCCAGTGGGCGAGGGGCCCCCCACCCCCATCCACAGCCGAGGCCGGGGCCCAGGCCCACCGAGTCCTTAACACCCCGCCCAGCTCCACCCACCCGGCTTCCCGGCCTCCCGGGCATCTCAACTCAGGCCGTCCTGAGTCTCCGGAGCCCCCTCTGCAAAGTTCGCAGCATCCTCAGGGCGTTTCTCTGCACAACGTGGGCTCCGGACCGAGCCCTCCACCAGGCCTGTCCCCCCGGCCCCCCCTGGTCCGCCCCCACCCCGATCGGCACCCCACTCACAGGCTGGCGGCGGCGGGCAGCGGGCTCCACAGCGCCCTCCAGCCGGGCGCCGGCAGCTTCCGGCGGCTGCAGTCCAGCAGCGGGAGGCGGCAGGCGCAGGGCGCGGGGCAGGGGCCGGCCCGGGCGGCCGGCAGCAGGAGCAGGGCCTGGGCGAGGACCAGGAGCCGGCGCTGCAGCGGCCGCGCCTCCCGGGCGCCTCGGGGCGCCGGCGCCATTTTCCTCCCCGACCGGGACCGGGACCGGGCCGAGGGGAGCCGCCAGCTGGGAGGGACGGCTTCGCGGAGACGCCTGTCAGCGGCCCGACCGCGCCGAGCCCCGCGGTGGCCCGTGCCCTCCGGAAGGCGAGGGGCGGACACGGCCCGGCGGCGGGGGCGGCGACCCGGACACACGGCCGGAGCCCCGCGGACGACGCTCCTCCGCCCCGCCCCGCGACGCAACGTCCTCACGCACGGAGGAGCCGACCAATCGCTGCCCCGGGACGGGATCGCGTCGGGGGCGGGGCTCCGGGGAAGGGGCGGGGCCGGAGACAGGGAGGGCCTTCGGGAGGACCTCAGGTGTCTGGCATTTTGGGGCGCCCTTCTGCGGTTCCCCCGCCGGTGCTCCGCTGGGGGGCGCAGTTGCTCCTTGAGAGGGAGCGAGGAGTGCCCTGGAACTGGCCGTTGCAAGTCCCGACTTGGAGTTGGTCTGCTATGGCAGCGATTTTCAACCCCGTGTGCCGCTTTTTAAAACATGGAATACCTGTTTAGCCAGGGACACTGGCCTCTTTTCCCTTAGATTGCCAAATAACAACCACCAACGCAACCACAGCGCTCCAGTGTGAATGCCCAGTCTTGAACCTTAAATATATAGGTCATATAATAGTCGCATCTTATTGGTCACCCCGCATAAGATTGCGTCTGATTGGTTAATTCTTTGGTACCAGAAATCCTTATAGATAAGTATAGGCATTTGATTTTTTTTTTTTTTAAGGCACTTTGGAGCAAAATGGGTAGGTAATTACGATTATAATTATTTGTTGGTTATCAATCAAAATTATACCTATTTTTGTCAGATGGCCATATGTTTAGTGTGCCGCATAATTTTAGTAATTAGTTGATGTGTGCCATGAGCTGTAAAATGTTGAAAATTGCTATTCTAGCCTAGCCGATTTGGCTCAGTGGATAGGACTGCCGCCTGCGGACTAAAGGATCTCGGGTTCATTTCTGGTCAAGGGCATATGCCTGAGGTCCCCATTAGGGGGCGTGCAGGAGGTAGCTGATCAATATGCCCTCTCATCATTGATGTTTCTATCTCTTTCTCCCTCTCCCTTCCTCTCTGAAATCAATAAAAATATTTCCTTAGAAAAGAAAGAAAATTGCTATACTATATAGTTATAGAAAATAGTCGTTTATCTTCTCTGTGTTCTAAGAAAGGGGAATGGCAGAGGGACAACCTTCCAAATCACAGACAAAAAGGATTCTGGGGCCTCCACCTGGCCCCTAAGCCTCCAGAGCCAGCTGGGCCTCCTCTGTACCCTCCTACTTGTCTTCAGCTACTGTAGTCCTAACAGGAATCATGTGGTCACTATGGGAGATGGACCACGCACCATCCTGAAGGCAGAGGCCAGTTCATTCACTCTTCTGTGTACCTCCAGTTTCTATTCTAGCTTTGAGTTCAATAAATGATGGGACAGCACCTGCAAGGCATATCTCTAAGGAAAATACTCTCCCTTCCTCTGTTTTTGAGAATGTTGTCTTATATATACTCTCCCAGAAAAGCAAAAGAACATGTAAAGAGAGTGTTGAACAGTCAACAAAGTGGAGTCTGGATGTGAGGACATTTTTTATTTATCTTGAAGCAGAGAGTATGGAAAACCTGCTAGGAACAGTGATGACCAACCACCTTATGCTCACTCAGCTATGTATTATATCCAAGATTATGAACAAGACTTCAGCTTCTATACTTTTCAACGAGACTTTGCATCTGTCACTTCGTTTATTCCCTCAATATCTGTGAAATTGGCAAGACAGGTATTGTTGATGAGGAAACAAGCCCAGAGAGCTAACCAAGTCACGAGCAGGCTAGCTGGCATGGCTGGGTTTCCTGACTCTTCCAAATTAAAAACCTGCAGGTTAAAGAGATTGGCAATGCCTAGGTCACAGTATTGTCCTAGAAAGTAACTGAAATCAATCTTTCCATGGTAGGTTTGGAGTCACAATTATACTTTTAAAACTTTTTCTGTCTTTTTAATCTGGAGGGAAAAAACGCCAAAAGAATCTTCAGGTAAATGATCGAAACCAGTAAAAAAGGTTCAACAAGATTATTATTACAAGATCAACATACATCAATATTATTCTAGTAAGTCATCAATTATGATGTATATTTTTTCAAAGCTAACATATTTTTTCTAGAGCAAGAGAAAAAGTATATGGAGAACATTACAAAATGTTATTTAAAAGTATTTTAGCCTGACCGATGTGGCTCAGTGGTTCACATCTACCTATGAATCAAGAGGTCACGATTTGATTCCCGTTCAGAGCACGTGCCTCAGTTGCAGGCTCGAAACCCAGTGTGAGATGTGCAGGAGGCAGCCAATTGATGATTCTCTCATCATTGATTTTTCTATCTCTCTCTCCCTCTCCCTTCCTCTCTGAATCAATAAGAATGTATTTTAAAAATAAAAACATATTTTTTAGAAAATATTTTTTTTAAAAACCTAAGTAGATGAAGACTGAAAGAATTGTTATTATAAAGGTATCAACTAGCCAAAACCGGTTTGGCTCAGTGGATAGAGCGTTGGCCTGTGGACGGAAAGGTCCCTGGTTCGATTCCGGTCAAGGGCATGTACCTTGGTTGCAGGCACATCCCCAGTAGGGGGTGTGCAAGGGGCAGCTGATCGATGCTTCTCTCTCATCGATGTTTCTAACTCTCTATCCCTCTCTCTTCCTCTCTGTAAAAATTCAATAAAATATATTAAAAATAAATAAATAAATAAATAAAGGTATCAATTATTTCATGTTGATTTGTAGATATATACAATTCCAATAAAAATTCTCAATGGGCATGGCAGTGCAAGAACAAAATAGTAACCAAGATACTCTTTGGTTGTTGGGGGAAGGAGGGAGGGCATGAAATGTAGAAGAACTTGTTTTATCAAATATCAAGATAGGTTTTGAAAGCTATAGTACAATAATTAAAAAGTGTAGTGTCTCCAGAGCGTAACTTTAATGGACTTTTGGTGCATATCAGAGACTTCATGGGACATTTTATTTATGGCGTAGGTGTAACTACAGGGGAGAAAGGACAGGCTTTTCAATAAACAGGCTAAGATCATCAGATAATCATACGGAAAGAAATGGAACTGGATCCTTTCTCACATCACGATCAAAAATCAATTCAAGACCTAAAAATGAGAGGCAACACCATGCAGCTTTTAAAAGAGAATAGTGAAGACTATCTTTTTCACTTTGGAGTAGCAAAGAATATCTGAAAAGGGAAGAAAATCATTAGCCATAAAAGAAAAGGATAAATTTGAACACATTAAGATAAAATTTCACTCACAAAAGACACCACAAAAAGATATTTGCAACATACATAATCAGCGCGCGCGCACACACACACACACACACACACACACACACACACAAAGAAAGAAAAGAAAAGAAAGAAAGAAACCGCCTACAAATCAATGAGATAAAGGAAACAACCTACATTCACCTGGGACTGAGCCAGCATAGAGCTCGTAATTCTGGGTGGTGAACAGGAGTGCTGACAGTGCGGCAGGGAGGAGCCAGGTGTCAGCAGAATGAGTTTGATATGAACCCCCTTTTGCCTAAATATAGGCCTGAACAGGTATGTACAATGTAACTGATTGGGGGATAACTGGGCTGATTTCCCAACAAACCATGACTGCATGACACACCTCTCTCTCTCTCTCTCTCTCTCTCTCTCTCTCTCTCTCTCTCTCTCTCTCTCACACACACACACACACACACACACACACACACACACACCTGGCTTCCTCCTCAGCCTCAGCATAATCTCCTTTCGGGGTTGAAAGTGCTGACTCCATTGTGCACCCAACAAACCAGCCTGTCCCCGGGCTGCCTGAGCTTCTGAGCGAACTTGTCCGTCCCATTGTCCTTTATCCTTCTGAGATTGGGAGCCAGCCGCTGTCACTCTGGATGAGGCTTTGTGACGGTTTAATCAGCTCTTGGGAACCTCGGGGTTTGATTATTCTCAGCAATCAACGGGAGCAGTCGTGCGTTTCTGGGCCCTCCGAGCTCTCCCTGTTCACTGCCTGCCAGGCCCGGAACGTACCCACACACTCTCCGGCTGAGTGAAAGCTCAGGGAGCTGCGTGCGTGCCTGCACGTGCACGGGTGTGTGTGGGCAATGCCCAAGAGAGAGCTGAAGGCCGGGGCACAGAAGGCCAGAGGCCGTGGGGTTGCCATTATCTCCAGGACAGAACCTTCAGTGCCCGAAAGGGACCCTGGGGCTCTGCCAGGCAGCCAGGCTCTCGTTCTGTGTAATGAAGCTCTCCCTGATCATCCTGGTGATGTCTCCGGAGATCCCGCACAGAGGGCCCATCTGCTGCCAACCCTGGGTCCTTGTTCACTCCCCGTGGAAATGAGGGTGTCCCTGCGGCTCCCCCACCTCACTTCCCCAGCATAATGCTCACCCCCAAGGGGCCCTGCTCTTGGGACTAAACTGGATTATTAATTGGACTAATGAGAGGCCTCCTGGCAGGCAGGGAGAGAGAAGCCGGAGGAGAAGGAAGCGGCTGAGACAGGAACGTCCTGAGACACGGGAGCTCAAGACACCTTCAGACTGGAACCAGCAGCTTGTTTTCTGAGAGGCTGAGGCCCGGGCAGGCAGGGGTGTGGACGATGGTTTTATGAAACTTGTATTTCTTATAGGAAACATGCTAATATTTCATCAGCACATGGTAACAGCCTGATTCCTGCATGCCTGTGTCCCGGCATTTCACCGTGGCATGTACCTGTCTCAGGTAACATTCACAAGGGCCATGAGATGGGAATCCTGACGCTCATATTGCCCGTGAGAAAACAGAGGCCCCAAGAGGTGTGTCCAAAGTCACACCAGTAATAAATCACAGCCCGAACTCTTAGCCTCGGCCACTGCGGGGAGTGGTAGGAAATGAGGCTCCGAGCAAACATAAAGGTGGCACTGACTGAGCATGCTTCTCTGTCAGGCAGGGAGAGGTAAGCCTGTACAGGTAGCAGCACTCCCACCCTGTAATACAAGAAGGTTGGTTTTTCCTAGCTTTGTGGTCGGCAAACTCATCAGTCCACAAAGCCAAACATCAATAGCACAACGATGGAAATTTCTTTTGAGAGCCACAGTTTTTAAACTTAAACTTCTTCTAACGCCACTCCTTCAACATAGACTCACCCAGGCCGTGGTATTATGTGGAAGAGCCACCCTCAAGGGGCCAAAGAGCCACATGTGGCTTGAGAGCCACAATTTGCCGACAACGGCCCTAGCTTACAGGTAAGGATGTGTAGGCTCAGAGAGGTGAAATAACCCGCCTAAGGCCACATAGCGAGAAAGCGGCAGCCAGGATCTGCTGTCCATCTACCTGCGTCCTACCTATTACATTGCCTCCCCTGACCTCTCTTTGCCCCAGGTCCTGCAGGCGTCTTGCATAAAAGAAGGGAGCTCTGCCAGAACCGGTTTGACTCAGTGGATAGAGCGGACTGAAAGGTCCCAGGTTCAATTCCGGTCAAGGGCATGTACCTTGGTTGCGGGCACATCCCCAGTGTGTGTGTGTGGGGGGGGGGGGGAGGCGGGGGTTTGCAGGAGGCAGCTGATTGATGTTTCCCTCTCATCGATGTTTCTAACTCTCTATCCCTCTCTCTACCCTCTGTAAAAAAAAATCAATAAAATATATTAAAGAGAGAGAGAGAGAGAGAGAGAGAGAGAGAGAGAGAGAGAGAGAGAGAGAGAGAGAGAAGGGAGCTCCAGTTACACCTAAGGGATCGGGACCCAGTGAGACGTGGCCTGTGGACCGCAGCCCTCACTGAGTGTGGAGGCCCGAGGCTGGAAGCCGGTCATCCACGGTCATCCACGCCGATGCAAGGCTTTCCTCGGGGCCCCTCTGCCTGGGGAGGGGAGCGAGCCAAGCAGAGGCAGGAAGTTTCCCTCGGTGTCTTAAGATTTAAATTATTTTCCTGCCCGTGAGGCCGCTGACAGCTGCGTCCTTCCTGTTTGTCTTCCAGAAGCAGGTTCCAGCTGACCAGCCACGGGGAACCTGCTGCTTAAGCAGCTGGTAATGGACAGCAAAACAGCACGCGGAGGGCCTGCCAGGCCAGGGTCAGCGCCCTACGGGGACTGCGGGCCAGGGAGGGAGGACGCCGGAGCACAGCTGAGCTGAGCACATCCACAGGGCCTCTGCTCTGGGCTTCTTTTAGGTTTTTTTGAAAAATATAACAATAATAATAAATGCTTGTCTGTAAGTTCAGACTGTGCAGAAGAACATAAAGTAAAAAGGGGAACTTCTCCCAGGATGGCCAGTTAACTATCCGTTGTCTATCTTCTCATCCCCGGTATAAACATGAGTTTACACTTGTTAATTTTTTATTTATGTTGGTCTTTCATTGGATAACTAGTTCTCCAAAGTTGTGTTGTGCCCAAGTGTCATCAACCCCAAAGACTACCAGGGAGCCGAATCCAATGCAATTGCAGAAAGGCTGTATTTATTTCGGACTAGTCTGAGCCCAGTCTCACCTACACCAACAAGGGCATGGTGAGAAAGAGGAAGGACTTAACATATCAATGGGTTTTATAGGGAGGGTGGTGCCCCTACCTTGGCTGACCTGATTGGTTAGGTTAGGCCTAGGGTCCAGTTACCTGGAGCTGGACCTGCCCCACCCTGCCCTCTCACCCCACCTGCCCTCTTACCCCGCCCTGCCCTCTCAGTTGTAGACGAATCAACACTCTCACCAACAGTGTATAAAAGGACCCATTTCTCCCATCCCGGCCAATAGTGACCTGTTTTATAGTAAAAAAAAAAAAATTAATTAAAATTAAAAATTAAAATGCTAGTAGGTAAGTTGTAAAAATGGCTCTCCTGCTCTTTCCTTCTGTTCTTTCCCCTACTTTCTAGTTAAATTCGCAGCACCTGACCCATGCGCATTACCCAGAACTCCAGAAGTTCATCTAGAAACAAGGGGAGGGACATCTATGAATCATCAACTGGGACACACAGAGATTCAACGTTACCTGTAAAAGGCGATGAAGACACATCTCACACATTTACTAGAGTTCATATGGACGGCTCAGTAGCGGGCAAAAAAATGTATGGTCAAGACTCCTTGCTAGGTTTGGGATCTCATTCAAACCTCAGATAGTCACAGTTAGAAAAAGCAAGCACTGTCTCCCCATTGGAGAGATTTTAAAAAGCAAACTAAACAAATATGGTGTTTGTCTAAGGTCACAGTGCTAGTCAAAAGCGAAACTCTAAATCAACGTTCCGTCCCTTGTACTACCTCCATAACACATTTTATATGTGTTTAAATACAGGGGTGTGTGCATAGATATAAACGGTAAGTGTAATTTGTGAACATGTATTTGGATCACACCCATTTTCTACCTATAGATAAATACTAGAAGTAATCTCCTAGGGTAAAATACAGTGTATATAAAAGGTGGTAGATGGTACAAGAGGTGATTTAAAAGCAAAACCTCAGTGAATGCCACCTTGCAGGCCCCGACAGATCCCTTACAAAAGTCTCAGGAAACAGAAAGGATTGGGAAATGAACTATCCATTAATCTCTTCTATTTATGGTTCTGGGACAAACACTGTGTAAAATGAGTTAAATGCCAGGGATCCTATCTTAGGCACACACTAGACGTTGGACAATTAAGTTGTTGGGCCTCAGTTTTCTTACCTGTGAAAAAGATAATACTCTCTATGTCATAAGATTGCTGAGTGGATGAAATGAGATAATGCATGTAAAACACCTTGCAATGTGCCTGGAATATGTATGTCTCCATAAGTGTTAGTTATTGTTCATTCTAATTATGTTGTGGGGGATTAAAAAAAATATTAATATTTTCCCTCCCACCTTCTAAATTCTGGCTGGACTGATAATCAAATGAACAGATTATCAGGAGAAAACCTAAGCTTTAACCCAGGTGCATGGGGAATTCACATGGGAATGACAATTCCAGACAGTGAGATAACACTGGGTACATAAAACAGCTTTGGACAAAGGAGAGGCGGGGAGGGGACGGGGTGTTGGATTTCAGAAGTGAGGATGTGGGATTTGCAGGGAGCTGAGGAACAGCACGCAGAGCAGGAAAACCCCTGCGGGGTGACTCAGACACAATGGGACCCAAGGGGAGGCTTCTGAAGCCCTCTATTTACCCAACTCAATTCAAATGAAGCTGAGTTGGCATCCTAAGATCGCCTTCCTGAAGCAGTTTCTCTTTCCAAACCTCCTGGCAGGAAAGGGGAGAGG